AAGCTCCTGGCTGCCGGTCCTCCCCAGGCTGGGAGGGGGCTCCTGAGCGTGAAGCTTTCTCAGCCCTTTCTGGGCTCCCCTAGGCTGGTCTTTCATTACACGACTGCTGCCAGCCCCTTGATCTCAGCAGGCTTTAGACTTCTCCTTTATTTGCCCTGTTTCCTCATGTTTTTCCCTCGTGAGCCTCCTTTATGCTTTCCATACCAAAGGCTCGATAAAACTTGCCCTTATGTTACCTGGGGGCTAGCCTGTGGCTTGCTGCCCTGCAGTACAAGCTCAAATATATGAAGTCTAGAAAGACACTGGTGATGTCAGCACATTCAACATGCACTAAGAAGCTTCTTTTACTAAATTACACACCAGGAAAGCTCAGGGGTCCTATGAAAGCTGAACCAGTGGGAGGGCTGTTTAGCACAGTGTGTAGCACGTGCCAAAGCCATCCAGCTCCAGGTCCATCCTCACTTTCAGTAGCATGAAACGCCTTTAGGCATTGCATGATCCATCGTGTGGTTGCACCAACAAATGTAGCGCCAACACGTGTGACCAACACAGCCACAAATCTAAGTGAAAAATGCACTTTTGCTTGTTAACTACAGCTAAAAAGACAACACAACAAAACTCATGTGCTGCATATTTTTGTTTTCTAGGAGTTCTGGTTCAAGAACTTCAGCTCAGAGACTAAAATCATCCTGGTCTTTACCTTTGGAATGATCACCTTTTGAATGATGAAGCAGTGAACAATAAAGTTTTTCCTGGAGGGAGAGAAAAAGCCCGAGTTGCCTTTGTTGAAAGGGTATGAGGAGTCATGGTTTTGTAATGCTAATGACTCTATTAGTATCCATAAAATACTAAGATAAAAATGAAATTCTGCGCACAAAATAGTCTGTTCTCTTTATGCGTGAAAGGTTAGTTCAGCATATAATCTGAAGAAATTCCCTGATTGAAGCATATCCAGAATGGGTTTGCTTGTTTCAAAGCACAAATTATAATGCTATGTGTATACAGTGTACAAAGCTAAATTGCATAGCTTGATATTCTGTAGTCTGGTTCATATAATAAGTGTAACTGAATAGAACTACAGGTCATCTTTGGATATAAGTGAATGCTTTGTTTTCAGGGTTTTAAAATATTTTCTATGATGTTTTTTCATAAAATTGTTGCCTACCTTATGACATGCTATGTCTTCTTTTCTTTCTCTCTCTCATCTTTTCTTGTGGGAAAGTAAAAATGGTTGCTACATGATTTTCAGAATTAGGTTAGTTATTTAAGTTCATCAGATACACTGCAAAAGTCTTCAGTGAGCTATAACATCACCAATTTTAAGTGAGTTTGGCATGTTGGTATGACAGTTCTGGTATGCATGAATTACTTTACATATTCCTGACATCTAGGAATGTTCATAGAATCATAGAATCATAGAATGCTTAGGGTTAGAAGGGACCTCTAGAGATCATCTCGTCCAACCCCCCTGCATACGCAGGGACACCTAGAGCACGTGGCACAGGACTGCATCCAAGCAGGTTTTGAAGATCTCCAGAGAAGGAGACTCCACAACCTCTCTGGGCAGCCTGTTCCAGTGCTCTGTCACCCTCACTGTTAAGAAATTTTTCCTTAAGTTCCTATGGAATTTTTGATGTTTCAGTTTCCGGCCATTTCCTCTAGTCCTATCAGTGGCCACCACTGAAAAGAGACCATCCCCATCCTCTGCACTCCCTCCCTTGAGGTATTTATATACACTGATTAGATCCCCTCTCAGCCTTCTCTTCTCCAGGCTGAACAGGCCCAGCTCCCTCAGCCTCTCCTCATAGGGCAGATGTTCCAGGCCCCTGATCATCCTTGTGG